AGTTTGATGCTTCCCAAAAAACCTGAGGAGCCCAAAAAAGGTCCCATCAACAGGGTCAGCCCTGAAAGGTCTGGGGGTCACCCGAAAGCCCAAGGTTGGTGTTTCTCCAGCAGGTTCCCTCTCCTGGGGAATAACAAATCCTCCTCCTCCCCTGGGGACACCGAGGGAGGCCGGGACGATCCCGGTTCTTCCCAAAAATCCCCTGGAACGGGGTTTCCTCACCCGTGGCCTCGATGTACTCGATGCAGCGCTCGATGAAGACGGGGATGGGCCGCTCGGGGGACACGACGCTGGCCAGGGGCACCCCGAAGTAGCTGCTCTCCCACGTGCTCTTGGTGACCGAGGGCCTCGCCTTGGGCTTTGGTTTCTGCGGGAATTTGGGAATGGTTTTTACTGGTTTGTCCTGGGTTTGGGGCTCTTCTCGATTTCGGGGGGGGGGTTGGGTTTTTTTAATGATTTCTGTGCCTGGGGGAGGCCACCAGTGAGCAACTGGTGCCACCACCCCCACCAGTGACCCCCGGGGGACACCACCAGTGACCAACTGGTGCCACTATCCCCACCAGTGACCCCCGGGGGACACCACCAGTGACCAACTGGTGCCACCACCCCCACCAGTGACCCCCGGGGGACACCACCAGTGACCCCTTGGGGAGGCCACCAGTGTCCAACTGGTGCCACCTTCCCCACCAGTGACCCCTTGGGGAGGCCACCAGTGACCAACTGGTGCCACCTTCCCCACCAGTGACCCCTTGGAGGAACCACCAGTGACCCCTTGGGGAGGCCACCAGTGACCAACTGGTGCCACTATCCCCACCAGTGACCCCTGGGGGACACCACCAGTGACCAACTGGTGCCACCTTCTCCACCAGTGACCAACTGGTGCCACCTTCTCCACCAGTGACCCCTGGGGGACACCACCAGTGACCAACTGGTGCCACCACCCCCACCAGTGACCAACTGGTGCCACCACCAGTGACCAACTGGTGCCACCTTCCCCACCAGTAACCCCTGAGGGACACCACCAGTGACCAACTGGTGCCACCTTCCCCACCACTGACCCCTTGGATGGACCATTCCCTCCAGAGCTGGGCTCCACGACCCTCTTGGATCCCTCCCAACCCAGAACATTCCCTGATCCAACCAGGAGTGACCCCAAAACAACTCCTCTACCACCCCCAAACCTTCCACCTCAGGACAGACCTTGGTCCCCCTCCTGAGGCTGCGCAGGATGTTCAACCTCCTGGATGGACCATTCCCTGATCAGGGGAACATTCCCTGATCCAAACCCAACTTCTCCAGGACCCCCAAACCCCACCCCCCCCCCCCCCAACCCCCCCCTTTGCCGGGACAGACCTTGGTGGTCCTCCTGAGGCTGCGCAGGATGTTCCTCCTGCGTGGGTCCTCCCCGTCGGCCGCCTCGTAGGGGATGACGGCGTTGTCGCCCTTGTAGCAGCCCTGGGAGCTCTGCTCCTCCTCCTTCTTGCGGATGATGGGCCCCAGCTCGTCGTCGCTGCCCAGGCTGAGGCTGGGCCGGTAGCCGGCGAAGCGGCCGAGCCGCGGGCACCGCGCCCGGTACAGGGCGGGCTTGGCGGCCGCCGGGGCCTTGCGGCCGCGCTCCAGGGAGCTCGTGTCCATCTCGCTGTCCGAGCCGTTGCCGCTGCCGTTGGACTGCGCCTTGTTGATGTTGCGGATGGTGATGATCTTGCCCTGGGTGCTGTCGTGGGGCACCGAGTAGATGTTCTCCTCCTCGCTGCGCGGCTTCACCACGGCGTCCATGGGCTCGGCGTAGTCCGAGGGGTCGAAGCAGTCGGCGGGCAGCCAGCCCGAGGAGGACACCGACCTCCTCTGCCCGTCCCGGTGGCCCTGCTCCAGGTAGGAGAGGTCGCCCTTGATGTCGAAGTGCACGGGGGGCTTGGGCTTCACCGGGGGAGGTACTTTGTTGTTCAGCTTGCTCTCGAAAGTGCTCACGACGGAGATGAAGGACAGCCCGTCGTTGCCCTCCAGCTCCATGGAGAGCTTCGAGTGGTCCTTGGGCAGGGCGGGCACGGCGGGCTCCTCCCGGAAGGGGCTGTAGCCGGGGGGCTCCGCGTCCTCCTCCGAGTCCTGCAGGTTGGAGTTGCAGAGGGGGGAGCCGGCGCGGGGCGAGTTGAACACCTCCTCGGTGGTGCTGCACGCCTCGGCCGCGTTGTCGTACATGTGGGCGGCCTCCACGATGTTCTTCTTCTCCACCACGTCCTTGAAGAAGGGCTGGAAGAGCTCCAGCTTGTGCTGGGCGGGCGGGCCGCAGGACACGGCGGCGAAGCGCCCGTCGATCTCCTGGGCGATCTCCTCGCCCTCCGCCAGCTGCTCGCGGCTCACGTCGTTGTCCAGGATGTCGGCGGAGCCGTCGGTGAGCGCCACGAGCTGCACGGGCACGATGTCCTGCACCTCGCAGAGGAAGGCCCGCAGCATGGCCAGCGACGCCCGGCGCCGCGCCGAGTAGAAGACGATGTAGCCGTGCACCAGGCGGCTCTTGCGCACGCCGAAGGACGCGTGGTAGGACAGCAGCGACAGCTCCGTGCGCCGCTTGTGGGGCCCCACGGGCAGCTCCAGCAGCACCGAGGAGCTGCTGCTCGGCGCCGGCCGGCAGGCCTGGGCCTGCAGCAGGGGCGGCAGCACGTCGTCGGCGCCGAAGGGGTCCCCGCACATGAGGCACATGACGATGCGCAGGTCCACGTCCGCCAGCTCCTTGAGGCCCGGGGTGGAGCCGACGAGGTTGAGGTTGCGCTTGGAGTCCAGCAGGCCCTTGAGGACCTGGCTGATCTGCTTCTCGTTGATGTTGCGGCCGTAGCCGATGCCGGCCGAGGCCGGGTCCAGGAAGACGCACTGGAGCTTGCTGGCGATCTGCTGGCCCTGCTGGACGAGGCTGTGCAGGGTCTCCCCGCTGGCGTCGCCCCTCTTGTTGACCAGGACGAGCGTCAGGGGCAGGTGCACCAGGTGGTTCTCCCGGCGGCCCAGGGTGGACTCGCGGCTCTTCTCGATGCTCTCCACCACGTAGGACAGCGACTCCTTGGAGTTGTAGAGGCACAGGCAGCCGTGGGGCTGGAAGGTGGGCGTCTGGAAGGTGTTGACGGGCAGCCGCACGTTGCCCTCGATGGGCCGCAGCGACAGCTCGTACATCTTGCCCTCGATGACGTACTTGTCGTCGTTGGTGCACAGCGCCCGGATCTCGTTGGCCAGCTCCCGCGCCAGCCCGTCCTTGCCCAGGATCACCAGGTTGATCCTGTCGATGTTGGAGTCCAGCAGCAGGTTCTTCTGGTTGCGCTCCGAGGGCCGGATGAAGCGGGAGCCGAGCAGCTGCTCCACCTTGGAGTCCACGCAGCCCGGGCAGCTGGGGCACGTCTCCTTGGTGGGGTGGTACACGAAGTGGATGTGCTTCAGGATGAGGGCGTCGCGCTCGGCCTGCAGCTTCTGCAGGGCCTTGAAGCGCTGCTCCTCGCCCAGCACGTCCTGGATGACGCCCATCTTCTCCTTGCTGGGCTTGGCGTCGAGCTCCAGCTCGTAGAACAGCTCCGAGTACTCCAGGAGCAGCTCCTGGAACTCCTCCTTGGCCTTGTCTATGATCTGCTTCTGGTGCTTGCCGTAGATGTCCATGTACACGGACTCCTCCAGCCACATGTAGAAGTCCTCGTTCATGATGAAGCTCCGGGCCTCCTCCCAGGGCTTCCCGGGCGTGATGAAGGGCGACGTCTCCAGGTTCTCCCGGAAGGCCCTCCTCATCTCCGCCCGCTTCCGCTCGTTCCTCAGCTTCTCCAGGTGGGCCTCGTAGAGCTGCTCGGCGGGCGGCGTCTCCATCAGGTCGAAGGGGATGCGCTCGTTCTCCACGTTGTCCACGTGGCTCGTGGCGTCCCAGGGCGTCTCCTCCAGCACCACGAACCACTTGTGGAAGTCGGGCTTGGCCTCCAGTAGCTTCTCCACCTTGCCCCGGCCCAGGTGGTCGATCTCGTCCAGGTCGGGGATGAGGGCGTCGAAGGCCTGGGGCAGCAGGGCCAGGTAGGTCTTGCGCCGGCGCTCGATGTGCTCCTGCTTGAGGCGGTGCACGTGCTGCAGGAAGAGCTTCTTGGCCTTCTGCGTGCCCTCCAGGTACACGTAGTCCTGGTACTCGGGCGACGGCTGCATCTTGCGGCTCACGTTGGCCCAGGCCTCGTTGTGGCTCTTGACGATGCGGCTCACGAGCCACTCGTACTTGTCCTTGGCCGCCGCGATCTGCTGGCTCTGCTGCTTCAGCGCCTCGAAGTAGGGGATGATCTTGGCCTTGCCCCGGCTCTTGTCCACCAGCTGCACCAGGGTGCTGAAGGCCAGGTCGACGTTGACGTTGGAGCGGGCCGAGGTCTCCACCACCTGCAGGTTCTTCTTGCCCAGGGCGAAGGCGTGGGCGTCGCGGATGTAGCGCTCCACGCCCTCGTCGCACTTGGTCAGCACCACCACGATGGGCTTCTTGGTCTTGGCCAGCTGGTTGTAGAGGTTCGACACGAACTTGAGCTGGTCGTCGAAGTTCCTGTTCATGCCCCGGCTGACGTCGACGCAGAGCAGGAACCCGTCCACCAGCAGCTTCCCGTCGGGCATCTGCTTCTGCTCGAAGTCCTGCTCCAGCCCCAGCTGGTCGGTGCAGAAGTACATGAGCTTCTCCGCCGACGCCAGCTTGGTGGCCGCCGCCCTCTTGATGTAGGGCTGCAGGGCCGTGCTGCGGTGGGGCTGGAAGGTCTGGTCGTCGATGAACTCCGTCTGCTCCACCACGTGCATCTTGCAGTCCACGCACTCCTCCAGCGCCCGCACCACCTCCCCCCAGTAGAGGAAGTGGTCATTGTTGACCACCCTGCCCCCGAAGTCACTGGTGCTCAGGACCGACGTGTGGTCCAGGTGGAACTCGTCGGCGCTGGGCCGCACGAAGCGGTTGCAGAGGCAGGACTTGCCGACGCCGCACTGCCCCTTCTCCTTCTCGGTGCCGGACAGCCCCACCACGCTCACGTTGTAGGTGGGAATGCGGGCGTCCTGCTTCCTGGCCATCATCATTGTCCGCTCATCATCCTGTCCCGCTCACACGCTGCTGCTGCTGCTGCTGCTGCCGCCGCTGCTGCCCGGAGAAGGGTCGCGGCGCCCGGCGCGGCTCCGGCTCCGAGGGGGGCTCAGGGCGCCGGGGCGGGGCCGCTCCTGGTTCCCATCCCGCTGCCTCAGGCCGTGCTGGTCCCCGTCGGCGTCGTCGGGCGGCCGGCGAGTCCCCCTGGGAGAGAGGGAGAGAGAGAAAAGGAGAGATGAGAGGTGGAACTGGTGGTGGTTTGGGGGCTGGCACCCGAATCGTGCCCGGGGGGTTTGGTGAGTCCTGCGCTGGGACGCCGGGGAGGTACTGGAGGTGGTGGAGAGGTGGCAGACCCGGCCAAGGGCTCGGTGTGGTGGGCACGGGGTCACTGCACCCCCAACCACTCACTCGTGGCTTCCATCACCCAACTGGGGAGGTGGGCACACCTTCACTGCCCAACTGGGGAGGTGGGCACACCTTCATCACCCAACTGGGGAGGTGGGCACACCTTCATCACCCAACTGGGACGTGGGCACACCTTCACCACCCAACTGGGGGCTCGTCGTGGTGGGCACGGCTTCACTGCACCCCCAACCACTCACTCGAGGCTTCTTGGGTGAACTCTGAGGGTCCTTCCACCCCAAACCCTCCATGATTGACTGGAGGGGGCTCTGAGGCTCCTTCCACCCCAAACCCCCCAAGATTTGGGGCCTCTGAGGGTCCTTCCACCCCAAACCCTCCAAGATTTGGGGCCTCTGAGGCTCCTTCCACCCCAAACCCTCCATGATTGACTGGAAGGGCTCTGAGGGTCCTTCCATCTCAAACCCTCCAAGATTTGGGGCCTCTGAGGGTCCTTCCACCCCAAATCCTCCATGATTGACTGGAGGGGCTCTGAGGGTCCTTCCACCCCAAACCCTCTAAAATTTGGGACCTCTGAGGGTCCTTCCATCCAAAACCCTCCACGATTGACTAGAGGGGCCTCTGAGGCTCCTTCCACCCCAAACCCTCCGAGATTCCACGAAACACCGAGGGAAATCAGTTGGATTTTGCTGCAAACTGAAAACTGCCCCCCCGGCCCCGCCAAGGGTTGGAAGCGGCTCCGGGGCCATCGGAACGAGCCCGAGGAACGCGGCCCTTCCGTGACAACCCCCCCCTCCCAAGGCCTGGCCAGGGCAGTTCTACCAGTTCCCACGGCTCCGAGTCGCTGCCCGGCTCCCAAAACCCGCCCTCACCTCCGGATGATCCCGAAAAATCCCGGATTTCACCCCTTCCCACGGGTGGGTCGCTCGCTCCGGTCACCGGGAGCCACCGGGGGCTGCTCGACCCACCCAGTCCGAGGAGAAGAGGTGGAGTTTGGGGTGGAAAACGAGGATTTTTGGGTGTTCCCAGGGATGCCCTGGGAACTCCCGGCTCCTCCGTGTTCCCTGGGAATGTCCCGGGAATGAGCCCCGGGAATGTCCCTTATCGGCGGCGCGTGTCCCTCCTCGGGGTGGGGACCGGGGCAGCTCCCGGAGCACATGGGTGCTCCGCTGCCAGGCCTTTAATTAGCCCCACTAATTACTCATCCCTCGGATTCCCGGGAGCGGTTCCTCCCCGGGAGGCTGCACGGGGCCAGGATCCCGCCGGGAATGCCGCCCTTATTCCGGATCCCAGTTATTCCTCGATCCCCCAGGGTTCCCCACCTTCCAGGGGGGGGGACAATCCTGCGCCCCCCCCCCCCCGATCCTGGAGGGATCCAGAGTGTCCTGAGGAGCCCCTGATGCTCCCACATCCCCCGCTCCAACCGGGAATGTCACCGGGATTCGGGAATTCCCTCCTGGGGGGTGGATTTTCTTGCTGCCCCCAGGGAGCAAAAAACCCAGAAAAAGGTTGGCGGGATCTTCCCAAAATTAAGCTTTGAACCACCTGGATCCCAAATTTCCCACGGCAGGTGGGTCATCCCGGACAACGTGGAGCCTCCCAGGCTTTCCCTGCTCCCCAATCCAAAGGGGTTTTCCCAATTTTGTGCAGGAAATAACCCCCCACTGATTTGTGGAGCCACCGATTCCCGAGCCCAAACCCTCCCAAACGAGCAAAGGGGGAGGCTGGGTTGGCACAGGGGATCCCATTCCCAGGGAATTTAGGATCTGGGAATTTAGGATCTGGGAATGACCCACAGGACGCGTGGCCTGGTGGCAGCAGCGCCCGAGGACGTCGGGAAAATTTGGATGGAATTCAGGTTTTTCCCAGGTAAGAGAAGCCGCCCTGTTCTCTCCCGCCAAAGCGATTCCACGGCGGGATTCCGGGAGCAAGAGCAAAATTCCAGAGGCGGCCCCTCCGTCACCTCCACCTCGCTCACCCCACACCCCCAAAAACCCCAGCCCGGCACCCCCAAAACCGACGGAAATCCGGGGGCAAACAACAGCTACAAACCCCCCCTCGGCGAATCCCGGGAAGGAATTCCCGGCTCCTTCCCGTGGAGCACCTCCAGAGCTTTAAACCCAACCTTTAACCCCCTAAAAAAACCCCCCCAAAACACCTCTGGAAGTTTGGGATCCCCCCCCCTCCTCCGGGCCCCATTCCCACCAAGTGCTGGAAAAGCCGGGATCGGCCGGGAATGAGGGGGGGGGACGAGGGACCCACCGCCGGATCCGGGAGCTCGGGAATGTTCTTTCCCGGAGCTGGAACCCCCCCAGAGCTCACCCCGAGGATCCCTCCCCGTGTCCTCCCGTTCCCGCGGCGCTTTCGCTTTTCCGACAAAAAAAAAAAAAAATCAAAATCCCTGAGTCAGGAGTTACTCATTGACCCCAAAGTCCAGCCCGGGATCGGGAGCACCAGGAAGGAGGGACCCGCTCCAATAATTCCCGGCGGGGGGGGGGGGGGGTTGGAATTCAGCTCTCGTTTCCTCCTCGGGATTTGGCGGCAGAGCCAAAAAAAAGGGCAACGAAAAACAATAAAAAAAAAATCACCCTAAAAAAAGGTGTTTTTCCGGCGCCAGGTGGGACCCGGACGCGGCTCCGATCCCGTGATCCCGGGCTTGGAATTCATTGATCTGCTCAATGGAGCAGCTTCCCAAACTCTGTCAGACCCGGGACTGAGCGGCCCTCACGCCCCCGGGGTCAGCGGAGAGGGGAATTCCAGTTTGGGATCCCAGGAATCCCAGTTTGGGATCCAGGAACTCCAGTTTGGGATCCTGGGACTCCAGTTTGGGATCCCAGGAATCCCAGTTTGGGATCCAGGAACTCCAGTCTGGGATCCAGGAACTCCAGTCTGGGATCCCAGGAATTGAATTTCAGATCCAGGGAACTCCAGTTTGGGATCCAGGAACTCCAGTTTGGGATCCTGGGACTCCAGTTTGGGATCCCAGGAATTGAATTTCAGATCCAGGGAACTCCAGTTTGGGATCCCGGAATTCCAGTTTGGGATCCTGGGACTCCAGTTTGGGATCCAAGGGATCCCAGGAATCAAATTTTGGATCCAGGAACTCCAGTTTGGGATCCCGAAACTCCAGTCTGGGATCCAGGAACTCCAGTTTGGGATCCAGGAACTCCAGTTTGGGATCCCAGGAATCGAATTTCGGATCCAGGAACTCCAGTTTGAGATCCAGGAATCCCAGTTTGGGATCCCGGGACTCCAGTTTGGGATCCAGGAATTCCAGTTTGGGATCCAGTTTGGGATCCAGGGACTCCAGTTTGGGATCCAGGAACTCCTGAGCTGAGCCTGGAGCCACATTTGGAATTTTTCCTCTCCAAAGGGGAACGACCTCGGTGTCACAGCCCTCCCAGGTCCAGGGAATCCTGGGAATGCTGCTCCCTGAAATCCAGGCTGTCCCGGGAATGCTGCTCCCTGAAATCTGGGCTGTCCCAGGAATGCTGCTGTCCCCAAGCTCTGGGGTGTCCCAGGGATGCTGTTCCCAGATTCTGGGGTGTCCTGGGAATGCTGCTCCCTGAAATCTGGGCTGTCCTGGGAATGCTGCTCCCTGAAATCCGGACCTGCAGCCCGGGAGCATCCGGGTCACATCCCGTTTGTCACCCCCCGGCACTGCCAGGGCTTCTGCACAGGGCTGCTCTCCATCCATCCATCTCTCCAATCCTTTATCCCTCTCTCCATCCCTCCATCCATCCATCCATCCATCCCTCTCTCCATCCATCCAACCCTCCAATCCTTTATCCCTCCATCCCTCCATCCATCCAACCCTCTCTCCATCCACATCTCCATCCATCCCTCCACTCCTCCATCCATCTATCATCCCTCCATCCATCCCTCCATCCATCCCTCTCTCCATCCACCCCTCCATCATCCATCCCTTTCTCCATCCCTCCATCCATCCCTCCATCCATCCCTCCATCCATCCCTCCCTCCATCCACATCTCCATCCCTCCATCCCTTTCTCCATCCATCCCTCCATCCATCCCTCTCTCCATCCACCCCTCCATCATCCATCCCTTTCTCCA